CCCAAGGCTCCCCTACCCTCAGGGGAAAGAGCACGTGGCTTTCTGGGTGGACGCTCTGCCTCTTGCTCAGGTGTCTATCCAGATGTCACCCCTATCCCTGCACCAAATGACCTCCCTCTGTGGGACAGGCAACTCTTGTCCTGCCAGGGGACAGGAACACCATGCCATCCTCTCCCCTCCTCCCCCTGCAGCTGATCTGTCACTTCTCGTCCATCCCCTCCTTCAGCTGCCCTCTCCAGCTGGCCTGTCTCCGAGGGCGGCACTCCGAGGGTGCTCTCGACTGACTGGGCAGGGAGGACAGGGCACCACCAAGGCCAACCCTGAGACCAAGCCCTGCACGTCCGCTTCCCTCTACTTCCCCACTGGGTGACCCGCAGATGGCACACACCTCGGCCTGAGACCCCAGGGAGACCACGGGAGGCTTCTGGCCATGCCCACAGCAGCCTCTGCAGGGCCTTCTCACGTGCACCGACCGAACACTGGGCCGCTCTTGCCGGGACGCAGAGCCCAAGGCTACAGAGGTAACAGGCGCTGGGCAGGGTAGGTGGCTTAGAACGAGGGCAAAGGCCTACCTCCTGCTGCCTCCGTGGACCGCCGGCGCGGGCAGTCTCTAGGCACAGCCTGAGGCTGTGCTTTCGCCAGCCACACTCGGCAGAGAGCCAGCTTAGCAGCGGCGGAGGAGCCTCACCATCTCAGACCTGCTATGGCTCTGCTCACTGTAAACCACCCGCGGCCCTGCCAGGAACACCCAACCTGCACACCGCCGTCTCCGGTGTCTGAGGGCTTTGCTCTCCATAAAACAGCGAAGGCAATGCCAGCTCCCTCCATGTGGGGAAGACTTCCCAAGTTCCCCGGGCATTTCGCATCCACACTGCTCCTGGGGGCTCTGGCAGGAAGCTGGCAGGGCCGGCGCCCTCTCAGCCAAGCACCCGGGTGAGGGGATTCAGGCTGTAGGCAGCTAGGGCTGGACAGGGGGCTGTGGGTGGACCCCCGGAGCAATGGGGAGGCAAATGAAAAAACCCAGACTTCAGGGGAGAACCTGATAGGTGGGGTCTCTTGGTGGCAGGGCTCGAACTTCAGCAGGTGCACGCACAGGGCAGCCAGCAATCCCAGCAGGCCACATGTCGTCAAGGTCAAGGAGAACACATGAGGGCTTCGCACAGGGCACGGCAGTGAGGAGGCCGGGACGTTTGCCCCCAGCAGCAAGCACCATGGACAGCGCCCGGGCAGGCCCAGGGAGGCTGAGGGGCCACGGGGGCTGTGGAGGGTCTCGGGCCAGGGCAGCCCAGGTTGCAGCGAGGAGGGCATAGGCCAGCGGCTCGCTACACCCTCGCTGTGCCCCGGCTCTACTGCGAGCAAACCCCGCAGTGCGGGACGAGGGCGGAGGAGGCTAAGTGGGGCCTGCTGATACTACGACTTTCCATCCCTCCCAAGACCCCACCAAAGTCTGGTTGGAAAAAGGCAGGGAGGAGAGCAGGGTCCTCACTGCTGGTGGTGAGCCTCTACAGCTTGGAGAGGGACAAGGCTGAGGAAAGACGCCCCGCTGGGCACCAGCCTGTGGGCCCGGGGAGGGTGCCAGGACCCACGTTCAGACAGCTGGGCGTCGGGAACAGGGCCATGAGGAAGGCGCCTGCATGAGGTCCCAGCACGCAGCACACACATCAACCTTCACTCAGGAGGTGCCTCCACCCTGGGACCACGTTGCTGCCCTCCCTTCCCCACCGCCCGCTGTGCACCCCACCCCTCCCCGCTCCAATCTTCAGAACTGGATGGAGGCAGACTCAGCCCAGAGAGGCTCCAAAGCCACGGGGACGCAGGAAACAGGCGGTGCCCACTGTCACTCCCTGGCCAGTCTGCAGGAATGAAACATGGTTGCCGGTCCTGCGCCCTGCACAGGAGCGCCACCGCCTCCCTTCTGGGAACACGGGGTCCTCAGAACAGCTCTGTTCCTATGGAAATGACTCAGAGCGACGCATTATTTCCCGAGCGGCAAATTACAATGCTGCTAGCAGTGAGGGCTTGAAGAGCATTTTCCAGAACGTTCTGCTGCAGGAAACCTGCGCTCGGAGTCTCAGCCACGAAGGCGCCCTCCCTGGATGGAGACTGTCCTGGAGTGTCGCAGCTGTAGACACAATTCCTCACGCTCACCAGGACTCCTCGGGGTCTTTCTCTCACTTGTTTCCTCTTCCTATTTCGACCCCACTTACTTCAATTCTCCACGACACGTGTTGGTGCTCATAAATGACACTGAAGCGCTAATTCATTCTGAGTGTGAAGGGAGGGACCTGACCCTGGGGCCCCTCTGCAGTCCCCCCCCCGCGACCCCGCTCCGCCGCACGTCCAGTGGCGTGGCTGTGCCTGGCTCAGGCCTGTCTGAGAGCAGGGCTCTGGGATGGCCGGCCAGCATGTCAGCCGCTGCCCGAGCTGACCCTGTGACCGCAGCAGGGCGACAGCCCCGAAGGCAAGCTGGTGAGCACAGGGCTGGCGAGTGGCAGGGGCGGCTCGCACAGGGCCAGCCCTCCTGAATTTCACAGCTCTGGGTCAGGTGTGCCATGACAGGGAGGCTCGGGCAGCCCCTGCCAGTGTCCCCTGGATACCACTGTCCCAAGAGAGGATGGGATAACCAGAGGCCCATGGGGGAAGAGGAGGGGGCACACCGTCAGCCCACGCCAACCTGCGGACCCAGCCCAGGCCCTCCTGTCCTCGACCCCACGGGAACGGTGTCTGGCTCAACCCCAGGGCCCGCGTGACACTTTTCTGTCCATCACCACAGAAAGAAGAAATGTCATAGCTTTCACGGCCCCCGTGGGAGGGACTTTGGTGGCACCGCTTCTGTCTGGGGAGGACAGAGAGGAGCAAGCAGAAGTTCCCTGCTCGAGGTCGTCCTCACGGCCCAGACGAGTGCGAAGGCCCGAGAACTGGACCCCTTCCTGTGACCATGGTCAGGCCTGCCTGAACGGGGGTTCCAGAGTGAGTTCTGGGGTGAAGGTGTCACCACCTCCTCAGCACACACTCCACGTGCTGTGGCTTCAGGGACTCACGACACTCTGATTTCAGTCTCACCCCCCTGCCACCACCAGGCACAGCAGACCCTGGGAGTTCAGTCTCACCCACCTGCCACCACCAGGCACAGCAGACCCTGGGAGGGCAGCCAGGTTCACCTGGGGCCCAGGGGAACCCCGAGTCCCAAGCCGTGAGGCCCACACGGCACGGACTCTTGGGGCATCCCGGGCACTAGGGTGCATGAGGGCTGCTGTGCATAGGGGAGCTGGCAAGTTGGCAGGCCAGCCACACTGACAGCACTGCCGCCCAACGCTCACCACAGGAGACCACGGGAGGCAGGGCAGGGGGTCAACTTGAGTCTAGTCGGTGGCATTTATTCTACCCTGCGGTGACACAGGCAAGCCACAGCCTCCCTAGCACTTCCACCTTCCCCAAACTCAAAGTGACAAGGGTGAGCCGGACCCCCAGCTCCAGCAGCCTGGCACGAGCCAAGGAGGCCAGCCAGGTGCGCCAGCCAGGCACATGCCACCTGCTTACCGACGTGTCAGAGGCTGAAGAGGCCAGCAGCGGGCTGGGCTGGCCTGGCTCACACTGACGTGCCCACGCCGGCGGGCCCACACTGGCAGGCTCACACGGACAGGCCCACACGGACAGGCCCACACTGACAGGCCCACACTAATGGGCCTACACTGACAGGCCCACAGGGACGGGCCCACACTGACTGGCTCACACTGACCGGCCCATGCTGACAACAGGGGCAGATGCTGAAGCAGAAAGGTGCCTGGTCTCCCACCCGTGGGTGTGCACAGGGCTGGGGCAGGCTGGGCCGGCAGTCCCCACCAGTCCAGCCTCTCCACGGATTCCATGCCAGCTCCCCCCATGCTTCGGGCCCTAGAGCCATGTCCAAGCACAGGAGGAAGGTATGACAAGGCCCAGTGAGCCACCCCAGGGCCCAGGACCACAGGGCCTCCTAGCCTGCCCTCCAAGCCCTGCCCCTGAGAGAGCAGGGCTCAAGTGGGGATGACAGAGAGTGCCTGACCCAGCCAGTGCAGAGCCCGGGCCCTGGGACTGCTATGTCCCCTGTGCCACGCAGCTGCCCACCCCTGGGGCGGCCCCGGGCAGAGGGACTTCCCACCCAGCACTTCAGGTAACAAGGGGCATCACCCTGAAGGGGGACTCAGGCCACCCCACAGATGACACAGACAAACACTCTGGGGTCGGGGCTGGGGACGTGGCGCACACGGAGCCCCTAGGCAGGGCACAGAGCCCGGCAGGACGTGCGCTCAACCTGCCTCTAACCAGTGGGTGCGCACGGCTCTCCGGCTAAGCCACTCAGGCCACTGCGGCTCAGAGAGGTTGAACGATGGCCCCCAAGTCACACAGCTGCCAACGGCCGCGAGACGGAGTCCCAGGCCGTGTGACTGCTCACCCAGGACCGGCCCGCAGGCAGCATGGCCCGGTGCTGTAAGAGCTCCTGGGAGCAGAGGTCACATGCCGCTCTCTGGGGTCGCACTGCTGAGGACACACGCCGGCTCAGGGTAGCAGAGCCGCAGTCCCGACTCATCAGGGCAGTGTGCAGGGTGGCACAGCCTGCCCACGCGACGGCCGCTGGCTGCCTTCTCAGCCACGAGCGCGCCACAGGCAGGTCAGTGGTGAGCCGCCGCAGCGCTTCCCCAGCGCCTCCACAAATAACCCCGTGAACCGAAATTTAATAAACCTCCTCCTGGCAGAAAATCAAACTCGGGTTCTTTTGAAAAGGCATTTACTTACTTGAAAATCTCTTTCTTCTAGTATTTCTTTCCTCCATCTCACGAGAAAAGCGGCACACACGTACAAGTGGAAATGAGAAAAGCCCTCGGGTTCAGACTAGAAGAAAAAATAACCAGGAGAGAAACGTTAACGTGCAAGCCGTTAACCACCGTGAGGCTGTCTGCAGCTCCAGGGCCGCCAGGGCCCATCCGAGCAGGTTCAGGGAGACCGAAGCCTGTGTCGACTCACTCACTTTTACTCAATGCCTTAATTTCAAAATGCTCGCCTCATTAAAATAAACACCATGTTCTAAGGACCCGCAGCCTGATAAATAGCGTGCGAATAGTAGACCACACTTTAGGCAACCTCGGAAATAATTGTTCATTTTCTTCTCTTGCACAGACAATAGCCAATAATAATAAAATGTGAATCCAATGAGCCTTAACTCTAGGCCAGGCACAGAACCCACCCCTCGCCACCACCCCCGCCGTACGGGGAACAGGTGAGCATGTCCTTCCACTCTACAGATGAGCCCGAGAAGCGAGAGCGGGCCAGGCTGGACCCAGGTAGGTGCCAGAGCAGGCTCCTAGCCTGGGCCTACATGGACAAATCCTTCTTCCCGGGCCTGCCCAGGGAAACGGAGCTTTGGGAAGGAAGTCGTAGGGCGAGGAGGCGTGCCACCCACAGGCCCTGGACGTACCGCTGTCTCGCCTCTCCTCAAACACACCCTTCCTGGCCCTCTTCCCAGCTGCTCTTGCCTCATCCCTGAAATTCAGGCCCCATGTCACTTCCCCAGGACCTGTGCCAGATGCCCGGTGCGCTGGCTCGCCTCCCCCGAGGATAGCCCTCACGCCTTGTGACTGCACACTGCCATCCACAGAGACCCACATCCCCAACCCTCCAGAGCCCTGGAGGCCACCTTCACAACTCCGCCATGGCCATGTGATACCTATCCAACTGCTCATAGTTTAGTAAACAAAATAGACGCGATGAAGATGGCGACATGCTTTGGGAAAAACAAGGCAAGGAGGGGATGGGAAACAGCAGGAGTGTTCGTGTGGGCTTGGGGAGTGGGGACGGGTGCACTTTCAATATGGTGGTCAGGCACCTACGGTGGTATTTACATAGAGACCGAAGACGGAACGCCAAGCAGCACAGGAGGCAGAACGTTTGTTCAGGGAGAAGCAACAGGAAACACAACCCCCAGGTTGGAAGCTGCTGGAGAGGTCCAGAGTCACGAGGCCAGCACAGCCCCAATGAGCCCAGGGGGCAAGGCCCACGCTGAGGCCACACCAGGGCCCTGTCCTGTCCTCCCCACGCTGAGGCCATGCCAGGGCCCTGTCCTATCCTCCTGAGCCCCAGAAGCCTCAGCACTGGGAAAGTCGTGGGCTTCAAACACGTGGTTCCTGCAGGACTCAGCCCAGGACGGTGGGGACAGGGAGACAAGCAGCCCACAAGTTCTGGGGTTGTTGGTGACATGAGCCGAGGGGGAAGAGCACAGCTTGAAGAAGAGGGCAAACCCCAGGCACACTTTAAAGGCTGAGCCAACAAATACACTGATGAGGGATCAGCAGCTGGCGTAATGGTTATGTTGCTGGACTCCCATGTAGTCAACCGTGGTTCGAGTCCTGGACCCAGTGGCTTAAACTCATGCCAGGCGCGTGTGTATGCGTGCCCAAGATCCCAAGAGGAGAACGGAGGAGAAGGGATTGCGGCGTGACCATCCCCCCTGGGGGGGGATTTCTCGCTTTCTGTCTCTCTGTCTCTCTCTGTCTGTCTGGCGAGCCCACACGCCCTATAGCAAAAACCTCTCCAAATAAAGAAATAAATAAACAAATACATAAATAAATACATACATACACTGATGAGTACAAGCGATCTGGGGTGCGAGAGGAGGCGGAGCAGGAGGAAGGCCTGTGGCAGGTGCTTTGCGCTTTGGTTCCTTGGACACATGTTTCAGACCCCTGCTGCACACCCAGTGGAGCATCAGGCAGGCACCTGCACAAGGCCAGGAAAACAGCCCCATGGCCTAGGCCAGAAATGGACGCTGAAGACTTGACGACCCTAAGGAAATGACCAGGGTCACTCAGGAATGAGCTGGGCACCCAGGAGCAGAGTGGAGGCTGTGGAGGGGCCCGCTGAGCGAGATGAGCATGGGGAGTGATCACGGGATTTAACGACGTGGAGGCCACAGGAGGCAGCGCGGCCGCATGGCACATGCAGAATGGAGGGAGGAGACGCAGACACTGTGCTGGTGAGGATCAGCACTTATGAGCGGCACAGAACCACCAGAGGTGGGGTGGGGGTGGGGGGGCAGTCTGCCTGCCACTTCCTGAACTCAAAAGGGAGGGCTGCTTCCTGCTTGTCAGGATGCGTCATGGTGTTTGCTCCAGGCCTTGTCTGTAGATAACCCACAGCAGGGTTTAAAAGGTTCCCTTCTTGGGACCAGCAGACGGCGTAGCAGTTACATCACTGAACTCCCATATGGCTGAGGGCAGTTCGAGTCCCAGACCTGCTGGCTTCCAACTCACGCCAGGCTCATGTGTGTGAATGTCCAAGATCCCAGGAGGAGCATGGAAGAGAAGGGCTTGCAGAGTGGCCCTCCCCACAAGGTGATTTCTTACTTTCCCTCTCACTGTGCCTGTCTCATCCTCTCTCTCCGCGAGCACATGCACCCTAAGATAAAGACCTCTAAAACAAAAAAATCTCCCTGCACCTCCCATTACTAGAGTAGCTCTCCTGCACCTCGATAGAACGCAAAGGGAACCTCTGTGTCAGCGCCCATCAGCCGCCCTCCTGGGACCTGCCAGAGCGGCGACATAAGACCAGGGTTTGTGTGATGCTGGGCCAGCCTCGCGTTCCTGAGATAGGTCCGACTCGGTCGTGGCGTATTGGTCAAGATAATTGCTAGGTCCTGTCGCTGGCACTCCACCAAGGACTTCTGCGCCGTTGGCAGGACCGGCTTCAGACGGCCCTTTGGCGAATGAGCCTTGTCCAGAAGGGCGAAGGCTGCATTGCGTCCTCACCGTCTTCCTCACTCTCAGGAAGGGGCTGCATGGGGGCAGGATGCGCACGTCCTTTCTCCAGAAACTTCCGTAGGATGGCGGGGCCTGAGGATCCACGGACATTTACTGCCGCTTTCCTTTCTACGGGGTCACACAATTCAGACTTTCGAGAATGGTTGGAAAACCTTGTTGTTCTAGGAACTTAAGTTTTCAAATTTGTTTATGATATCCTAGTTTCCTTCGAATCTCTGCTGCATCTGTAGGAATGTCCCAGTTTAAATTCTTAATACTACTTTCATGTGTCTTTCCTCATCTTAGCTATTAGTCACGCCAGGAGTTTGTTCATTTCATTGGTCTTTCACAATAACCAACTTTTTATTCTAAGGATCAATTTGAAACGATCCCTTATCTTGTGTTTCATTAACTTCTGCTGCCCTCTTTATTACTCCCACTCTCTTACCGGCTTTGCCTGTTTACCGTCGATATTCTGAAACACGCACAGAAGTGGAGCAGCTCCTACTTAAGCTTTTCTAACTCGGGACAGAGGACCAGCTCACTGCAGGTCGGCTTATCTTCACTTCTGATCCAAGCATCATTTATGGCTACAATTTCCCTCCCACAAGCGCACTTCAGCAGCATTCCACGGTTTCACTGAATCTTACCATCCTTAAGTTCTAAGAATTCGCTATTATCTTTTATGATTCCCTTGTTCAGATGATGGCTTACTTATCAATATGGATTTTGAAAACCTATAAACATATGTAGTTCATTTTTATTTTGTCTTTTTAGCTTTTTTTGGTTATTGATTTGTAGCTTAATTGCTTCGTAACAGTCTGTGATTTATATGCTGCCAATTCTTTTAAATTTGCTTAGATTTGCTTTTTGGAAAAAGACACGATCAACTTCACAAATGTACCACAGAGCAGTATCATTAGAGATCAAAAACACAAGCCCTGGGGGTGGAGCACCAGGGTTCAAGTCCTGGCACTGCCATTACTGTGTGACCTATGACAAGGTATCTGGCCTCTCTGTACCTCAGTTTCCTCACCTATGTGTGTTAGTAGGATTAAATAAATTTTGTAATGTAAAGCAATTAGGACAACAAGTACTGGATCACAGTAAGTGGTATATAATGCCTGCTATTAACATGAGTGTGTTAAAAGGGCGTGCAGTCTGAGCTTCATGGATAATGTTCTATATATGTTTATTAAATAAAATTAATCTATACTGTTCTACTCTCCTATAAATCCTTACTAGCTTTTTGATCTGCTTTTTGACTCTAAGGTCCTTCAACAACTGAGAGGTACTAAAAACTTCTTTTATGAGAGATCTGATTTCTCCTTATAGTTCTGCTGTTCTTTGTTTTATGTATTTGGAAGCTATGTTATTAGGGGCATAGAAATTCAGGATTGTTTTACCTTCCCAGTGTACTAAATCAGTAATATATATTATCTTCTTTTTCTCAAGCAATGCTTCCCTTTGTAGTCTGTGTTGGGGAGGGGATAGGAGTCTGATATGACTATAACTATTGCTATGTATCCATTTTTGTTGGGTTGTTTATTTTAAACAGCTTTATTGAGAGTATGACTAAATACAATGAACTTTACATATTTAAAGGTTATGATTTGGTAGGTTCCGATACATGCATACGCTTGTGAAATGCCATCTCTATCAAGCCAGTGAGCACATCTGCCACCCCGAAAGTGTCTCTATGACCATCTGTAAATCCCCCCCACCTCTCCAGACCAGGCCACACACATCTACTTCTGCCACTGCACATTAGTTTACGTTTCCTGTACTTCTGCATGAACAGAACTGCATTGGTTATGCTTTCTTTTTTGTCTAGTTTCTTCCACAAAGCATCACTATTTCGAGATACATTCATAATGCTTCATGGACCGAGAGTTCACTCCTTGTAAATGCTGAGTAATGCACCACTGTATGCATGCACCATGGTTTGTTTATCCAATCATCTGGTGATGGACAGTGAGTTGTTTTCAGTTCTTGGATATGACACACAGGGCTGCTTTGAACATCTGTGAATAGTAAATCTTTCTATGGGCATACACTTTCATTTTGTTTGACTAAATACCTAGGAGTAGAATAGCTGGA